GAGAGAGAGAGAGAGAGAGAGAGAGAGAGAGAAAGAAAGAAAGAAAGAAAGAAAGAAAGAAAGAAAGAAAGAAAGAAAGAAAGAAAGAAAGAAAAAGCAAAAGGAACCAAAGCTGACACCCACACTCTGCCTGTCTTTGCCATGTGATGTCTGTGGCCACCTCATGGAGTAGGAAGAAGGCCCTCATTTAATGCTGACACCTTGATGTTGCACTTCCAGGACCATAAGAAATAATTTCTTTTCTTTATGATGTACCCACTCTGGTATTCTGTTATGGCAGCAGAAAATAGATTACAACAGTGACCGCTATGATAGTATTAAGAAATGGGACCTTGAAGAAGTGATCAGGCCATGATGACTCTTCTCTCATGAATGGAAATGAATGTCTTCACTTTCTGTCGTGAAAGCATACCGCACTCCTTCTCTCCAGAGGAGCAGTGACAAGGCGCCATCTTGGAAGCTGCCTCACCAGACCCCAAACCTGCTGGGGCACTGATCTGGGACTTCTCAGATTCCAGAGCTGTGAGAAAATAAATATCTATTCTTCATACATCACTCGTTCTTGGGTATATTTAAACAGTATAACAGACTAAGACATTACCCAGCATGGTCTTTCCACTCTTTGGACGGTAGGGCTGAGAGAAGGGTGACATAATACAGTTAAAGAGTGCAGGCCAGAGAGGCAGGGCCACGCTTTTAGGGCTCCAAACTGGGGTAGTGAGCTCAGTTCCAAGGCTACCACCTCATGTACATTTTGTCCTCCTCTTTGACTTCCCACCCTGGAATGAGGGGCGGGGCAGTATTCATTTTTAAATTCTTCCAGTAACTTGAACAGTATCTGACATAGGGTGGTGTTTCTACTTTTTCTTGCTTCGTGGTATTACCTCTGTCAATTTCATATTTTTCTTCTTAAGACAGGGCCTTACTATGTTATCCACGCTTGGCCTTGGACTCATAATCCTCCTCCCTCAGGCTCCTGAGCAGTGAAGTTAGAGTAGTGAGTTTAGAGGTGCACTGTACCTAGGTTCAGAATCTATTTTTTAAAAATTTCTTTCTCTTTGTATTTATTTTTTCTATCGCTCTTGGGGCATGTGTCATTTTATAAAAGTTTCATTGTAGTGCTAACCCGAAGTTAGGAAGATAATACAAAATCTGTTTTGTTCCCACATCTCTCTCAGCCACATCAAATGCCAGAAATAAAAGCCGTAGGCTCTTGTTGGTTTCTCTAAGCATTACAGCAACTCTGGATTTATCCTTTCTCTACTTCTTCTTCCCTGTTTTCATTTCACACATTTATCCATAATCTCAATCAAATACTGAAAATGAGGGGAGGGAGACATGGATTTATCGTGTTATTTCATCTGTGGGCTTTATTTTCCTTTCACACTAGGTCTTTTAAATATCTGATGATACTTTTCACATCCTCCAATTTTTCTCTTCTCCAGATGCATTCTTTGGATTATTCTCATCGTCACAAGTTTCCTAACCCCACCATCTTGTTCAGATCTTCCACATCCACTCTTGTAAGACAACACCCCTTCTTCTAAATGTGATGCATACTGCATAATATTGCTGCACTGGGAGTGTGAGTTCTTTAGAAAACAATGAAGGAGTAGACTCTCCTAGAACTGCTATGACAAGCAGAGACACTGAAACAACACCCAGGATTTAGAGGCAGATTTATTTCCATCATTGGGCACTGATTGGGATCATTCCTGAAATATCAGGCCCTGATCTCTAGTGGTCTAGGGCTTATATAGGATAAGCAAGCAGGAAGTACGGAGGCAGAATGGCTTGTCAATTGGAGATTGGTTCTTATAATACGCATCACAGTGACCAGCCATTTCTAAGAAACAAAAGTAACAGGAACTGGAACAGGAACTATTACCTGGGCAACTAAGAAATTGAAGAAATTGAAGGCTGGGGGAGGGCATCTTCTGCTACACAACCACCTCTGTAGAGTCCTCACTTGACCCAGTTGGCTATCATTGGGTCATATGTTCACTTGTATGTATAGGAGAAAGAAAAAGTGAATGATATTGTTTGTTCAGTCAGGAAAAAAAAAGGAATGGAAAATGACAGTATCAACCGTGTAGGTGGAAGTTTTGGCAGCAGGGAGAGACAGTATTGTCTTGTATAAAGATTACTGACAATGAGAAAACTCTATCATGGGCGGGGTCATAAAATGAAATGCCCAGTAAAGCCAATAAGTAACATGAATAAGTTGAGTGAACCCGGTGAAATCTAAGGTGAGCTGGAAAGTGCTTACCCAGGCAAAAGGGGAAATCCCCCTCATAGTCTCAATCACTCTAATGCCAAACCCACATACCTAAGCCCTTACAGAAAGTTCGGAAGACTTTATTTAGAGATACTAGTCACCCTCAGATAACTAGTCCAGGTCATCTTTCCAAGCTGGTAGCCAGCATCTTCTGACCAAACAAATGTGCCAATGAGTCGAAGTGAGTCCTGCGTGTCCTCAAGCCCTGCTCCATTGCAGTGGTTAGACTTTCAACACTAATACTTAGCCAGAGACCATCAGACAGATGAAGAAATAAATAAAATAAAATTTTGCCTTCCAAAATAAAAGACAAAACTAAAATGAAACAAGAAACTGAAAACAGGAATTCCAAGCAGAGACAATTCAAGGAAAAGAAGAAATTTTTCTAAAAACATTTTCAGTTAAATGTTTTATTTTGAAGTGATTGTGATCTAGCTGAAGTTGTAAGAAATAATAAAGAGCTCTCGTGTGCCATTTACCCAGTTATCCTGAAGCTAATTGGTGCAGTCTGAAACATTTGCCCTGCCCATTGACATGTTAAATTCACCTGTTAAAACCTAATCCCTAATAACGAATGATGGCATGGGGGTTTGGCCTTTGGAAGGTGATTAAGTCACCTGATATAAATAGGATTGGTGCCTTTATAAAATAGACCCTGGAGAGCTCCCCCTTCGTGCCCCCATGTGATAACCCAAGGAGCAGCCAGCTGTCTGTAAACCAGAAAGCAGACCTTCGTGAGATTACCAGTCTGCTAGCGCCTTGATCTCAGACTGAGAAAAACATTTCTGTTGGTTATAAGCCACCCAGTACCTGGTGTGCCACTGCAGTAATCTAAATAGATTAAGACAGAATTATCCTGCAAAACTCCAGTATAATATTCCAACCAGAATATTAATACTGGTACAGTCAGGGCACAGAATAGGAAGTTTAAAAAAACTAAAGTTGATGTCCACAAATAGTTAAGAGAGGTATTACATTCCTGAAAGAAAATTAGGATGCTATTTTAGGAAAGAATAATCAGAACAATGAGAACAAACTTCTTGGAAATTAAAAATACAGTTTGTGGCATACTGTATTTTCCCAAGATGGCCACACTATCACCTCCCATTCTGCATGCTCCTTCTCACAGTCTGGCTTTCACAGATTTCTCACTGAGAAGCGGGATCTTTGTTTCCTTCCCTTGAGTCTGGAAGAGAGCTCTGTCTAAGTTTATGTTTTTACAAAACATCAAGTTTACAATGCCAGTTAACTGCAGTTTTCATCAATTCCTCCTAACAAGAATAAATATGGCTTTTCTATACCAAATCCAGTACTAAAGAGATTAATAATTTCTATATAAAGAATGCTAACTCCTTACAGATAGTGTGAGGAGAATTGGATATGAATAGTAAATAAACCATTTAGTCTGGCTGGCAAAATGAAGCGTACAGTCGATGGGATATTAAATCTCTAATAGCAGACAAGCAATTTCTCATCTATGACTTCACCTAAGTAAAGAGCAATTCAGTGTAAAAGAATGGGAAGAAGAAAAATAAATCAAACCCATCTGTTAGCTTGATGATGGCCTAAGAACTGTCCATTTCGCTGATGAGCAAGTCTGTGGTTTCCAGTGTCTGACAAGTGCGTTGGAATTAACTGAGA